ATGAAGTTCAAATGGTTTTGAACACTCGTACCACCAACTATACCACTTTCAATAAATCGTGAAGCCATTTTGTTTTAACATGAATATCGCGGAGGAAACGCCAGCATCAGCAGCAATCTTCAAGTAACTAGTTAGTTCAACCAGGGAGTCGTCTATGACTCCCTGGTTCAACAGTACAGTACCCGCTGACATGAGCACTTCTTTCTAAAATCGTGACGCCATTTTGGTTTTTACACGCATGCGCGCGTGTACATGGTGTATCGTCTGTGCAGTGCAGGGCCTAGTAAGTAGTATAGTACTAGTACTACTAGTACAGAGCTGGCAACTGAAATCCGACCCCTTGCTGGGGCGCCGCGCCGGCAAGGGTCGGATTTCAGTTGCCAGCTCTGTAGTAGTACTACAGTGCTGGCAACTGAAATCCGACCCCCTGGACGGCGCGCGGCCCCGCCCAGGGGTCGGATTTCAGTTGCCAGCTCTGTAGTGTAGTACACTCCCGGGATCCCCTGGCCGTGATCATGGTGATATGCATTGACTTCATTGTCTTTGTGGTGGACTCTCAGTCTCAGCTAGCCAGGGAGTCGCTGCTCTCAACACTGACTCAGTGACTGCTAGTGTAGACTATACATGTAGTGTCCTGACAGAAACGAAAGCCTTTTTCGTAAGGAAGAAGAATATATTTCTAGCAGATCTATGATTGTAGTGAAAGAATAGGCTAGGGACAGCAGGGGAGAGCGAGAGAGGCTGAAGAAGAGTCGATGCTCTGCGCTAAAACCTCTGTCCATATAACTCGCATTGTTGTCTTGCGTCTCCGAACATTTCTACAATGCAACGTTTGTAAATAGAGCAGGAAGCACCGTGGCAGTTGCAGAGCTGCGTTGTACTGTTTTCCGAATTCCAGGAGACTTTCTCACGTCCAGCGGCTCAGTGGCCGTGTGAAATAGTATAATTCTCTGGCCCGAATCTGCCCCGCCATGGGGCTGTGCATGTGCGATACGTCTCTCTTTCAACTCGCACGGGATGATTGGTAGCGTGCTGTGCGTTGACAATTAAAAAAAAGAAGTTTGTATCCTGCTTCTATTCGGCCGTCCACACCGTCACACGGCGACCTCACCGTGGCCTCTAACGACCTGGAACACGGCGGTGGATATATCCGGGTACTAGTATCAACAGGGAGTTTATGCGTATGTCCTAGCGTGCTACTAGCACTAGTAGCTCACCTACTATACGTCTGCCATCCCAACTGACCATCTGTGCATGGTTGAACTGAACTAGAACTACGTGCACTGCTCCATACCTACTGTAGTCTGTATCCTGCTGCTAGCGCTACAAGTACAAGTAACGACTGCTAAGTGTGACCATGCATCGATTGGAGATGCGGTGGGTCGTGGAGAATGGCTGATCGTGTGTGCGCCATCATGGTGTTCAAGTCGCTGCGCCATCATGGTGTTCAAGTCGCTCGTGGATCTCGCTCACCCAGTAAGGCATCATGAATTTGTACATGTACATGTAAAAAAAAGAGAGTAAATTATCGTGTCCGTTCCCGAAGGGAACTCACGACGGCCGCTAACCCCCGGTAAACCCTAGCGGCAGATGCAGCGCCTAACGGTGAGGTGTACATGTACATACAGTGTTACTCAATGAAATCCAGTCGTGTCGCGCAAGTACGCGCCGGGCGTTGCGCAGCCCTGGACCTGCGAACCGTGGCGGCGAAATGATGCAAGGTGCAAACTTGAGCGATGCGACTGGATTGCATTGAACAGCACTGTACATACATGTACATGTACTTGCACCCCTGTTGTTTGGCAAAGGAAATCCGGACCTACAAGTATGTATGCTTTCCGCGCAGAGAATTGTAAAAAAAGTAAAGTTCGCACGTCCGCGTTACCACCGGCTATACATTTGTATTGAGAAGCACAACCAGCTTAGGAAGTTTTGCTCGTGCCAGGCCACCACCATGCCTGTGATACTAGGGTGGCAGATGCAGCGCCTACTGGCGTGGGTGAGGTGGCAACTCTCACAACCAATGCGCGACAAGGGGGCGAATACCTCGCTAGCTGCGTCCATGTTACCCTCACTCCGAGTAGTGAGTACCCAGTTGACCGTGGGTGTCGGCACAGCTCCTTGCATGTAAAGTGGTTCGCGCATGCATCACCGCATTTGTTAGCACACTGCACGCTCCCTGCTCCCAGCACGGGTCTCCAACTCGGGACCTTGTGATTCGCAGGCAAGCCCACAACCACTCGGCCAAAGCGCTGGTACTGCAGAGAAAAGAACTGTAGTTGTGGCCGAAGAATCCGACCCCGCGAGCCGAAAGCAGTGCCAAGTCTCATGCTGCGCACGTGTCACTTGGATGGGTTTGTGGACCGTTCGTGGTGTAATTGATAATAGAGAGGTTGCGCACAACGAAAATTCGTAGCGCCATAACGAGTATTTTTAACGAAAAAAGCTAACAAATATCCATAAGCCGTGAGGTTGCACACAACGCGTGAACTTTTTCGTAGTGGGTCGACGCGCGGATGCGAAGAGTCAAGACAGGGAGTTGTAAAATATCAGTATTTTCGTACTCCAAGTAGCAAAATATATTTTTGTAGAGCTACTCTGTTTTGGTCGCGTTTGGACAGATCTTCGTAGCAACTTTCGTCACTCGAACGCGGACGGTTAATATCTTACAAATCTTCGTTGTGCGCAACCTCTCTAATGGAAACGCGGTGCTGCCTTCGTCAGTTTGACGTGCGGGTTGGATCTCTTTGGCCATGGCTGTATAATTATTTATTTTGATGTTGTTGTGCACAGCTGAGTGTCAATGCACATGTGTGGTCTTGTGGGCTGCAAAATTAATGTACATCAGTCTGGATCTCAATTGACATAGCTGTTCGCTGCCTCCATGCTTCCCTCGTGCCAGGCCACGAGTTCCCAATTAACTGTGGGTCGCAGCACGTCTGGATTTTTTTTACGAGAAGCCACGAACCTCGAGAACAGAATATTGCATGATAGAGGTGGCTGCAGACATACCTGTGGTGGTGAAACTGGAGCATCTCCACCGACCTGAGGTCTCGGCTTCAGCGCACCGAAAATCCTTCCGCTTCCAAGCAGGACTTGAACCTGGTACCCTCTGTTTCTCAGCCATGGTCTTAGACCATCCCACTATGCCTACCTGCTTGGCTAGCACCCCAGAAAATATGGTATACAGAGTGTGCATCTCCTAATGGGTTGCTGTCATGGAGAATTTTCTTGATAAAACAGCATTTTGGTGATGTAGTGCGTACAAGAAGATCTCCCGCTGCTGGACAACTGCAGCACAGCTGTATGCACTACGCCACTTCCCTCCACATAAAGTCCCCTCAGACTTCCAGAACACAGGGGTTTTGTAGTATTGAATAATTATGTGGACGCAGTATTAAGACAAGAGAGTAGACAAGAAGGAAGACACAACACACAACACACAAAAAACCACCGGAGCATGCACTCTGCTATACTTGATTGGCTCTCATTGGCATGGTGAAGGAGCGGGAAATACGAATCGAGTAACTATTTTACTACTCCCTGATATGAATACACCAGTACTGTAAAAGCCATAAACAAAGTGCTAACTCTTTAACGAGTTAACGAGGAGAAATCTGTCGTTAAAATAGAAATCGTTATACAGAAATCGATACATATACTGTCCTATTGAGCGTAGAGAGTGAGTGAGAATCATTACCTTTGGTACACGTAAACTAGTCAATTTTGGGAAATCGTTATATATGCGCCTCGTTAGAATAATGGCTTATTACACCTGCATCAAGTATGACCTACGAGTGCAGGTTTTAGTATTGCGGCCATGACAGACACTTCAACTTCAACAAATAAAACTTAAACCCGTTCTTTTATATTTAGGTGACTGTTTTTGATATTTTCTGTTTCGCCTATTCTGCAGTTGCATGCGCATACATGTAAGCACATCATTCCAGCTCGCTCCTCATTCTTCCTTCCATTTGGCAAATGCTGGTTTTTATACATTGTGCAATTGCTCAGCGTCATTTGCAATAATAAACGAGAGAGCTTGGAAGCTCAGGGCCCTACGCTATGCTTTTTTTATTGCAAAACGTTTCCATCTGTTCGAATACCATGCATGATGAGCTAGGCAAAAAAGCATAGCGTAGGGCCCTGAGCGAAATATATAAATTTTCTCTTGCATTCGAGGGTAATGCGACACCGTCTACCACCTTGATGACCTAGGCGAAAAAAGCATAGGGACGCTATATATTTTTCATTTCTCCTACTTTTTTAAAGACTTAACCTGTGATTGGAACCCGCACTGTCGCCCTGCATGCATTCCCCGATACATTTACACAGGTATACGCATACATACCAGTACTCATTTTTCCAACTTGCTTCACGTTCTCATCTTACATTTGAAAGCCCTACTAGTATTTGAATACTGTGGCCAGCTGTCTTTGATGGTACGGGACAGGTACGGGATAGCGCCAGCTAGGCCAGGCATACCGACGGCACAAACACATATTTGAATGCTGTAAAGCGTGAAATTTTCGCGGCGTTTTTAGTTCGCGTTTTCAGAATCCGGACAGGTTTGCGAGGTTTTAATTTTGCGATTGCTACTGTGGCATTCATGCTACACCTTCCATCAAGAGTAGATAAACAAGAGTGTGCAACTCCGGATCTCTCCTGCACAATCTGCAGATACCCCCGCCCACGGCGGAATTTTTTGTTGACGTCACCATTTTTCAGAAGAACGCGCATTTCGCCGCAGAGCAGTGTGAGAGCACGTGCTGGGCACCGACCTTGTAGTGTAAAGCCGGCCAAGAGCACGAGGGA